GGAAGCATGACTCATGATAAACAAGAAAGACGGGGAAGGGAAGACGACAACACCAGCGACAAAAACAAGAATGACAGTGTAATGGCAGATTTCAATTGTTTTTACAATACTCTGGAATTTCACCGTAGCAAAACGCCCAAGGCACCGTGCAGGTGCATTTCTTTGGAGGTGGAAACGATTAGAAACTTCTTGTCTTCTCACACAGTGATTATGTAAAGCAACTCAATGCATGAAGTTAATTTTTCTCCCTTTCTCCATGTTGATGGCGTATTTCAAATCATACAGTATCCAATCTCCAAATAATAACGCACTGTTTCCATAAAAGAGGTGCTGCAGTTCCACACTGTTGGCATCCTCCGCAGTGGCAGCATCATTGGCGAAGAGACCTCGGCTGGAGCCATCGCCAAGAGATGCGATTTTCGAGGCTAGCATGTGACGATTGAAGGTGTTGTAGGGACCACCGCCTCCCAGTCGTGAGAGACCCCCGTTGAGACGTGGGGAGGTGGGATAGACGCTGCAAGAGACGCTACTTCCGTCCATCAGATCGCCTTTGTTGTCCTCGCTCACGGAGGGAAAGAGAGCTCCCATGGGTGGTCGAGTGCCGCTACCACCACCGCCGCCACCAGACAGGCCCGAGGACGAGTCGGAGCGATAGGGATAACTACTCCGTGGAAAACTGTTGACATGCGTGGAGGCTGTGGGATCCTAAAGGGTTAAAAATTTAGTTGGTCACTGCTATGCAATTGTAAACGCCGCTGAAAGATAAGTGAATGTCATCGTTTGATCTGTGGATCCTACCAGACAAGTTTACAGGATGATTTTCCTCAAACAACATTATAAGTGGAGGCGATAAATGGGTGATCAGTTAGGCGAGGCTGTAATAACGAACACCCGAAATAACCAAGGGGTTCAATTCTTGACTGAGTATGTCACTAACTGGTTACTGGGGTACAGAACCCACCTGAGTGGCATTATGATAGGTCACACAAGTTGGAGGCATCCCAATGAGCTGTGTGTAACCAGGTGGAGACATCGAAAGCGCCCCATTGTTGGCACAAATTGTTCCCGTGATTGGTGGAGCGCAGTTGTAAAAGGCTCCGGCTGGTGCCTGCGAAGACGCCACACCGTCAGCCACATTCATCAGAGGCTGCTTCAGACTCTGATCCAGATTGGTCGGCCGCGCCAAGAGCTTGGGCTTCCGACGACGTCTTTAGGCGAAAAAAAGTAGATCCATATACACCCCATTTTTGTCTCTACATCCAAACTGACGTGGTCTCACTATTCGGTCATGAAAACACGCTACCACTTAACGCAACCACATTCATAGACTGCTCTTTTAATTGGTGGGAAACTCCTTCTTTTACACAAATTTGGAATATTCACTAAAATATTTCGAACACATTTCGTTCTCCTCCGCTACCCAAACAGGAGGAACTTTGAAAAGAACCTATTGCAGAGGATTACCTTAGAAAAACGGATGGTGCAAAAAATGTACGATGAATACACTCCTGGAAAACTCGTCAATTCCACTGAACTGAAAGGTGTTTTGTGAAGAGAATGTACAAACATTTGCTAGTCCTTTTTTTCTTCTTTGCCTCCTTTTTTTACGTAGAATCTTATCCCCATCACCGCTTAATCTCATCGTCATGTCAAAGCCTCCTTGACGATTGGGGAGAACGTTTTTACTCTGGAATAATTTTATGATTTTACAGTCAAAGTTAGTTTATTCGTAAAAGATTTGAGCTGTTGCGAGTAGACAAACAGGAGGCCCTCCTGGTTGCGAAAGGTGAATTAAGGGCTTCAATTTGATTAATCTGATGATCCGTGAGGAAGCAAGTGAGGCAGTTGTTTAAATACGATGTTAATTCAACTGAACATTTGGCTTAGTGGTTTCTTCGAGTCTACAGCGATCAGGCTACCGATCGCCTCGTCCTTATGGAAGTGTACAGCAGACCTTTTCGCAGACTGGTATAAGTGAAAGGGCCCAAATGCTTACCTAAAAATGCAAACCAAGACGGTGCAAATCGTGGTGACCACTGCAGCCCCAAGGATGACAGCAACAACTGACACAGTGTAGAGGTCAGTTGAGCCAAATGCCAAGGCGCCATCACTTGTGGAGCCCACGGTGGGTGATATGTGACCCGAGGGAGCCCTTAATTCCAGGAGGGCTGGAAGGTAGGGATCTGTCGCAAATGGAGGTGACCACGGGGAGGCTGTACACGTTCCAAAACCGTCCATT